ATTTGCTCTTTGTATCCACTGTTTTCATTTTTTTCTGATGATTTGTGTTTTAATTCATGTTTGCATGACAGTTCCTAAGATAGTTCTTCTCACCTTTTTTTGGTTTGATTTTGTGAAGTGTGAAAATGCAGAGAAATACAAATGAAAATGGATTAGGCTGAGCTATATGAAATAGCAATGTTTGTATGTACAACAGTTGCCTGTCAGCAATTTCAGTATGGTCCAGCCTAATAATTGTCAACCTATTACAGTATCCAAGTCAAGACTGAACATCTTGGCTTATTTGCTTCCATACACTATGTGTATTGAAGGTTGTTCTGTTACACAATTCACACATGAATTCTGTCTCTTACGCTTTCTCACCATCATGGTTCTGACCTCCCTTAGCAGGCTCCCACTCCTGGCATTAAGTCACCTTATTCAATGCTAAAATCCTGTTGACCATTAAAGATTGTTTCCTCGGGGCGCCTGGGTGGCGCAGTCGGTTAAGCGTCCGACTTCAGCCAGGTCGCGATCTCGCGGTCCGTGAGTTCGAGCCCCGCGTCGGGCTCTGGGCTGATAGCTCAGAGCCTGGAACCTGTTTCCGGTTCTGTGTCTCCCTCTCTCTCTGCCCCTCCCCCGTTCATGCTATGTCTCTCTCTGTCCCAAAAATAAATAAACGTTGAAAAAAAAAATTAATAAAAAAAATAAATAAATAAATAAAAATAAAGATTGTTTCCTCACTTTAGAGGTGGCCAATAATGTAAGTTTTGTGCAGGTCTGTCCACTTCTTTTCATATTTTTTACACATTAAATAGAATTGACAGAATTTGGGGTCATGATTTATACATATTCTTGGAATTCTGTTTTCACTAATTTTTTTAATGAATTATTAATGTTCCTGTGCTAGCTTTTCTGTACCTTTTATTTTAAGGCTTTGTTATTTAAGTTTGCATCTTTTTTTTTTTTTTTTTTTTTTTTTTGAAGACTTGTCCGAAGTCTTTTTTTTTTTAAAGACTTGTCTTGACCTTTTATTAAATGTTTATTCTATTTTATTTTATTACTGGTTTTCTTCTCCTTGTCACTTTGAGCATTTTTCTTCCTCTAGTGGTGTGTCAAAATATATTTTTATATTTCTTTTAAAGGTTTAACTTACTCTTTTTTAGCTTATATTTTAAACAAAACTTGAAAAGCTAATCACGATTTATATTTTCCTTCCAAACACAATACTTTCTCTGTGTCACAACTCCCAGGTTTCTGGCATCCAAAAATTAGTTTCAGCTAATTATTTAATACCTCCTTCCCACATCCCATATATACGTTTTTTAATAACTTATTTTGCTGACTTATTTGCTCCCTGATGTTTTACATCCAACTGATTCTTGCTATGTTTGTCTTCTTTATATTCACATCGTTTTACAGCAGTAAAAAAAGCTAGCACTTATGTGACATTTACTATGCAGTAGTTGTCATTTTAGATCAGGCTACTAAACTATGTCCATGAGCCAGATGGCATTCTGCCTTCCTTTTATATGGCTCACAGCTAAGAGTGGTTTTTACATTTTTTTAATGGCTATGAAAAAAATCAAAAGAATAGTATTTCACGATGTGAGAATTATGTGAATTTCACATTTCATTGTCCGGGAATCAGGCTTTTTTGGAACATAGCCATGCCTATTTGTTTGCGTATTTCCTGTGCCTGCTTTCACGGTGCAGTGGCAGACTTGATTGGTTGTAGTTGAGACTACATGTGGCCTGCGGAATCTAAAATATTTACTACTTGGCCCGTTGTAGAAAGTTTGCCAACTCATATTCTAGCATTTTCAGTACTTTGAAGATACTCTGTTGTTTAGTGGCTTACATTGTTTCTGTTGAAAAATCAGCTAGCAGTTTTATGTGCCCTATTAGGCGGTGCCTCCTTTTTCTTTTGGGATTTTTAACAGTTTTGTGATGATGTACATAATGTGATTGTATTTGTTCTTCTTGGGGTTAATGCTCTTCTCTGGTCTGAAGAGAGTTGTTTTGGAAAATGCTAAAAAATCTAACATCTAGAGGGGAGAGTGGAAGGAATAAGACACTTTTAACAAAAGAAAGCAAAATGATTGCCGCAAGAGATACAAACAAAATACTCCAGGGTTTAAAACTGAGCAGGAACTCACAATAAGGAAGGATCACGTCTAACTGTGATGTAAGATGTGACCTTACTGGGAAGACCTTTGCTTAGGAAGGCCATGGGAAAGAGGGATGGAAAAGAAATTTGGTGTTGAATGCTGGGCTAGTGGTTAGTTTATCAGTTTTCAGGAGGTAATGAATAACCACGTCTAATCAAGGTAAACGTTAAAAAAATACATTTTTGACTTATATTTTCATATTACAATGGGTTAATCAGTATGTAACCATCGTAAGTCAAGGAGGATCTAATAGTTTGAAGAGTTGAGGAAGGGGTATTAAAAAATGGTCTGTTTAGATGTCAAATATGCTAGCTCTACCTCTATTCATGACCATAGGCTTTCTAGCCAGAATACCACATTCCTTCCCGATGGAAACTATATACTGTTTGGGCAAAAGTTTTTGAAGTTGGTCATGCTTGACATCCCTTTTAATGCTATGGTATATGACTGTGTTTCATCAACAAGTTTTTGAGTTTTTTGTTTGTATGGAGTATGGAAAATAAGGAGAAGAAATACAGAAAATTTTCATATTTGATGGTAGAGTCATTTCTAAATTATTAGAACTTGAGTCCAAGTAATGTGCCACAGGTTTATCCCCCTGTTGGTCTGGCAGCCATATAAAAGTTCTTATTGCATCTGTCATTTGGCCCAGTGGGTATAGATAAATAAATCCATGTAGTTGTCATTCAGGCCAAGAAATAGAAAATAGCCAGGATTCTTGAAGCTCTTGTGAAATCCTCACTGTGTAGCTGGAACTAGTTCATTTTTATTGCTTTATAAGACTTGATTATTTTAGTATACCGTAAGAAATCCATCTATTGATGAGCATTTGTTTTTCTGGCTCTGGGGTCCTATGTAAAATTTAACTGTGAACATTCTTTTTTATTGATTTTTAATTTTTTTTTAACATTTTTATTTTCCAGAGGCAGAGAGAGACCAGGAGTCTGGGAGGGGCAGAGAGAGGGAGACACAGAATCAGAAGCAGGTTCCAGGCTACTAGCTGTCAGCACAGAGCCTGACGTGGGGCTTGAACCACAAACTGTGAGATCATGACCTGAGCAGAAGTCAGACGCTTAGCTGGCTGAGCCACCCAGGCACCCCTGATTTTTAATTTTTTATGGAGATAGAATGACATATAGCATTATTAGTTTCATGTGTACCACGTTATTTGATATTTCTATATATTGGTAAATGATCAGAATAAGTCTGGTAAACATCCATCACCATATATAATTTTTTTTTTTTTTTACTGGAATGAGAACTTTTAAGATCTGTTCTCTTAGCAGCTTTCACATATGAAATACGGTATTGTTAATTGTGATTACCACATTGTACATTACATCCCTATGTTGTATTTATTTTAAAACTGGATGTTTATACCTTTTGATCCCTTTTACCCCATTTAGCTCATTCCCCACCCTGACAACCAATCTGTTCTTTGTATGCATGAACTTGGTTGTTTTGGTTTTTGTGTTTTATTTTAGATTCCACATAGAGGTGAGATGATACAGTATCTGTCTACTGCACTTAGCATGAGGTCCTCAAAATCCATTCATGTTGTCACAAGTGGCCAGATTTTCTCTTTTACGGCTAAGAAATACTCCGTTGTGTATATATGCCACATATTCTTTGTCTATTATCGGACGCTTAAGTTTCCCTATCTTGGCTATTGTAAATAATGCTGTAGTGAATGTGGGTGTGCATACATCTTTTCAAGTTAGTGTTTTTATTTTCTGTGGATAAATACCCAGAAGTGACATTGTTGGATCATGTGATAGTTCTATCTTTTGAGGAACCTTCATAGTGTGTTCCTAAGTGGCTGTATCAGTTTCCCTTTCCACCAGCAGTGCACCAGGGTTCTCTCCATATCCTCACCAACATTTGTGATCTCTTGTTGATAACAGCCATTCTAACAGATGTGAGGTATTATCTCATTGTGATTTTGATTGGCATTTCTCTAGTGATGTGCTGAGCATCTGCTCTTGAATCCATTGGCCATATGTAGGTCTTCTTAGGAAAAATGTCTGTTCAGATATTCTGCCCATTTATTAATTGGATTGTTTTATCAGATGATTTGCAAATATTTTATCCATTTAGTTGGGTGCCTTTTCATTCTGTTGGTGGTTTCCATTCTGTGCAGGTGCTTTTTGGTTTGATATAGTTCCATTTGTTTATTTTTGCTTTTACACCATTGGTATGGCTTGGATGTGGTAGAGAGATCTCTACTTACGTCTGACATTTTGCCTTGTAATTGGAAGTTCGTCTGCTGCCTTTAAATATTTAAAGGTTTAGGGGCCCCTGGGTGGCTCAGTCGGTTAAGCGTCCAACTTCGGCTCAGGTCATGATCTCACAGTCCGTGGGTTTGAGCCCCGCGTCGGGCTCTGTGCTGACAGCTCAGAGCCTGGAGCCTGTTTCAGATTCTGTGTCTCCCTCTCTCTCTGCCCCTCCCCTATTCATGCTCTGTCTTTCTCTGTCTCAAAAATAAAGGTTTAATTAACTCTTTAAACTTGATACCCCCCAACATGAGTATCATCTTTGTACAGATAACTTTAAATACTGTGTATTTGTTTACCTATTTATCTTCCTCTACATATTTTCAGAGGAGAAACAGTATTTTATTAATCTTAGATACCTGTTGTATATGGCAAGTGCCAGAGATCTAGGGGATCTACATAAATGTTTTATTTATAAACATATTTTTTGGAAACATGAGAAAACAGTGAAGATATCAGTTGGCGTCCTGTGTAAATTTTACAAGGTAAGAATAAGTTTTCACATATCCTTCCTACATTGCCAAATGCCCATCATTTCAGAATGAATAGCCATCTGAGTAATATGCCATTTCAGGGATCGGTTTCATTCACCGATGTGACTGTGGACTTCACTCAGGAGGAATGGGAGCAACTGGACCCCTCACAGCGGATCCTTTACATGGACGTGATGCTGGAGAATTACAGCAATTTACTCTCAGTGGGTAAGCACAGCTTTTCGTGCAGCTGCGTGTTGGCCTAGCATTTATGTCCTTGCTCAGTTACCAAAAATTCTGAGCTTCTGAATTACTACCATGTGGTTGTGGGCTGCAGCTTCAGGTGTTAAAGCCGAGAGACAGTGGAGACGCTGAAGTTCTACCTTCTTTATTTGGGGGATTTCTGAGGTCTAAGCAGATAGGAGCTGTGTTCCATTATGAAGTTCTCTGATATCATCGAGTCAGATGTGATTTTCAAGTTGGAACAACAACAAGAGGTATAGATAGCATAGTAAGAATGGTCAGGTCAGAACTTTCTGGGGAAGATGTCAAAAGAGAGAAGGAGCAACAGAAGCCAATCCACGCCATATCCTAGGGATTATGAATGGGTTGAACTATTTTCAAATATTTTTTAAGAATCAATTTTTCAGATTCTTAAACCTTTAAAGATGGCCAATACCAGATGATTCCTCAGATATCAAAATCCTACCTCCAACTATCACTCTGTCTCTGCTTAACATTTTTTGTTGAACTTTTACATTTTTCTCTCACACTTGACCCTTGACATTTACCTAACGTGTCTTAAACCTTTGTGATTAGCTGCTCTTTCATTCGTATTCCCAGTTTGCCAGAATGGTGACTTTGATATTTTAGGTGATGGAATTGGTGTAATAGATTCTTCTTTAGTCTAAGAGTGATGCATTGTCTTAGACACAAATGCCAGCAAGATCACCAGAGTCAGGAATGTTAAGGCTGGGTCAGTCTGATCCTTAAGATTCCTTCCGGTAACAGCAGCACCAAGACCTGTTTAGAGAAGAAATCGAACACATTAGAAGGAAAAAAATGTGTTTCAATGGAAAAAAGTAAAACACATGATTCTGTCGCAAGGATCTTGAACCCTTGGATTTATTTTCCATTTCCTTCAGACTATGGGTTCTGGATCTTGTCATCCATTTGCAAAAGTTGTACATGAGAGATTTGGATCTTGGCAGGAGGATTATGTCTGCAGACCTGTGAGCAGCATTGCTGTTAACAAGGTGTGTGGCTTGCAAGAGCAGAGGAGAAAAAACGGGGAGAGAGACTAGGAGTGTGGAGAGGAAGTGCCCGTCTGACCACAGCAATTCAGAGCCTAAGTGGCAGTTGCTAAACTCACATCTGCCCAGGCTGCTTGCCGTTCCCTTCGCATCTTCGTCCACTTGTTCTCCTGGTCTGTGCTGACTGTTCCGTGTCCCTGGGGACACGCCGAACCTCCTGCATCCCTCGATTTGTCAGCTTGCCTACGTCATTTGTGCCCTGTCTGCTGCCCTTTGTTTTTATTTCACTTTACCTTTTAAGGTCGTTCTGTAATCTGGCAGTGCTACTCGAGTCCATTGTCAGCTTCCATTCTTTTTTTGCCACAGGCTTTTTTGGTCTTTCCAAGCTTAAGAACTAGGCAAAATTTGCAATGGAGACTTTTTAATCCTGGAAGCCCGGATCCCATACACAGAGACAGCCCTACGATGGAACACTGGTGGAGACTTCACATTCTCTAACATGGCAGGAAGGGGCTGACAGCGTGTCTCATGTGCTCTTTCCTAGAGGTGTGGAAAGCTGACGACCAGATGGAGCGGGACCCCAGCAACCCAGATGAGCAGGCGAGACCATTTATCATTTTTAAGAACCAAACCCCAATTGAGGAAAGAGGTAATCTCTTTGAAAAAACATTTAATCTGAGCACAGATTTTGTTTCCTTAAGGCAAGTACCCTATAAATACGACTTATACGAAAAAACCTTGAAGTCTAATTCAGACTTACTTAATGGTAATAGAAGCTATATAAGAAAGAGAGCTGATGAGTGTAATGGATTTGGAAAAGCACTCCTCTATCTGAAGCAAGAGAAAACCCATCATGGGTTGGAATACTCTGACTATAATAAAAGTGGGAAAGTCTTTAAAGAAGCCATTTTTAAACATCAGAAAATACGAAATTTGGTACAACCTTTTATTTGTAATTACTGTGACAAGGCTTTCTCCTTTAAGTCACTCCTCATTAGTCACAAGAGAATACACACTGGAGAAAAACCTTATGAATGTAACGTGTGTAAGAAAACCTTCTCCCATAAGGCAAACCTCATTAAACATCAAAGAATTCATACAGGGGAGAAACCCTTTGAATGTATTGAATGCGGAAAAGCTTTCACCCACCAGTCAAACCTCATCGTTCACCAGAGAGCACATATGGAGAAGAAGCCCTATGAGTGCAGTGACTGTGGCAAGACATTTGCCCAGAAGTTTGAACTTACTACCCACCAGAGAATTCATACAGGAGAACGACCCTATGAGTGTAACGAATGTGCAAAAACCTTCTTCAAAAAGTCCAACCTCATTATACATCAGAAAATTCACACGGGGGAGAAACGCTATGAGTGCAGCGAATGTGGAAAATCCTTTATCCAGAACTCACAACTGATCATACACATGAGAACTCACACGGGAGAGAAACCCTATGAATGTACCGAATGTGGCAAGACATTCAGCCAGAGGTCAACCCTGAGATTACATTTGCGAATCCATACAGGAGAGAAACCATACGAGTGTTCTGAATGTGGGAAGGCCTTCAGCAGGAAGTCCCGACTCAGTGTCCATCAGAGGGTTCACATGGGGGAAAAGCCCTGAGACTGCAGCTAGCTTGTTCTGTGGAAAAATCCGAACCCTTCCAGTGGGGGGCAGACCGCACAAAGGTACTGAAGGAACGGGGACACGCGGGGCGGTGGGGGGATACAATCCATCAAATCAAAACACATGTAAAAACAGGATCCCCTAAGAACAGCCTTATACCCAAAGTTAGATACTCTGCCCAGCTAAAGCGTACATCCAGTTGTAAATAGACATGCTTAGTCCTGTTACAGTGAGCTTTTTAAAATCTTGAATTATTCTGGGCAGCAGCATAAAGGATCTGCAGACCATACCCCGGGAGTTGAGTGGCTGTGTATGAGATTATGCCCCAAAACACAAATCTTGTCTTACATCTATACATGTAAATTTAACACAGTCACTGGGAGTTGGAAATTCTTGTCCTCTGATAGTTAGGACATGAGTAAGATTTTCCATACTAAACACCACGTGTCTTTCAGTACCTTTACAACCCAGTACGCATTCCACATGAACTAGGTCACAGTTTTAGTAGCGTGTAGGGTATGTTTTCTCCTGCTACTTGATGGTATAGGGAAGTTGGTCGGACCATTGTTATTCAGCTGCCTCTTCAATAAACAGAAGACAGTGTTGAAGGTTTAACTTGCTTCGGAGGTTGCTAAAAGCATTATTCACATCGATATATAAGTGAGATAATTAAGCGGGGATTTAGGGAGTGAAAGACCACTGTGGGCTGTCACTCAGTGTAGGCACCACAGCTGGAGAGAGTGCCCACGTCCCTCGTGCGCAGTTCCTTTGCAGTGGGGTGTTTACATACAGATGCCTGTCTTTTAACATACTGTGTAACCCATCAACTACTTGTGCTTTTATTTGTGTTCTCCTGTTTCTCTTAATATTTTATGGATTGTCTTACAAAAAGTAGGATGTGTATGTGGTTCACAAATGTTACATTTCAGAGACTTCAGAGAAAAAAATTAATAAATGTCTTAGTGCTTTTTCAAATGTCCACGTGCACAACCCACTTTAAAAATGCATTTTTGCCACATCCTGTGTAAAGGAGGCATTTTCACTCCCTGGGTTTCACTGTCATCAGCCAAGAGCATTTCCCTTTGGAACCTGAGTAAAAGTTAAGCCTTTCTTTTAAAGGTTCACACACACTTTATAAGTTAGACTTTTCAGTGATCTCTCCTTATGTGTTTAACAACCTAAAAAAACGTGTTGCCTAACTCAGAGGTAAAGTATCTTACTATTGACTTCAAATTCCCAAGTTCCTCTCCCTGTCAGTCATGAATCACACACTAGAACTGTCACTGGGAACTGGCCTTCCTTTTTCCTTGTTTTTGAGTATCATTGATGTGCTGTGACCACCCATGAATGTGACTTTCTGAACAGATTCACAGAACATCTATAGTCCAGTAAGTTTGTCTTTGTCAAATTGTCATCTTGTCTACTACTGGCAAGGAAGCAGGGAAGAAGATTCATCTCACACACGGCTGTTAGAAATGTAAGTTGCGACTCTGTCTCTGAACATTAGGAATATACGTAGCCTTCAGGGCACCTGGGTGGCTCAGTTGGTTAAGCATCGACTCTAGGTTTCTGCTCAGGTCATGATCTCACGGTTCGTGAATTCGAGCCCCGTGTTGGGCTCCACCCTGACAGCATGGAGCCTGCTTGGGATTCTCTCTCCCTGTCTCTCAGCCCCTTCCCTGCTTGTGCTCACTCTCTACATAAACATTTAAAAAATATATACGTACTCTTTAATCCAGGAGTCTCACTCCTGGGGATCTATCCCTAAGAAAAAATAAAGTGCCAGTACTTAAGATTATATGTTTATCAATGTATACTGTATTTTTTGATAAGGACAAAAGAAAATGTGAACAACCATCACTAAGAGAATGATTGAATAAACTGCAGCAAAATATGCCATGGCTGGCTGGTGGAAAAGAATGTGTAGGAAAAGAATGTGTAGGAGCAGATGCCTCCACATCAGATTGGGGGGTGGGGGGAGGTTGTGTGTACACCGTGTTTTTAAAATAAAGGTCTAAAAACCTTACATGTATGTATATCTGTGTGTATTTTTATTAATTTATGGACCTGGAGAATAGAATTCTATATCAAGAATATAATTACCATTAAGTCCAATGGAAAACTGCTCATGTATCCCTCAGTCCCTAAGTTAACCCTCATTTATACTAAAACAATACACTAAGTCATCATGCAGCTAAGTAATTAACATAAGTTAACACCATAACACAAGGCAGGTTCTCTTCCTCCATAACAAACAGCTCTGTGCTGTTCTCCAGCTCTAGCTTTCATAGCTGTATGCTGTGTGTGAGGCTGTGTTCTCCGTGAAAACCTGTATTTGGCATTCATTGTTCACACAATGAAACCGTTCACACACACACACAAATAGTAAAGACAGACACCTGGGTGGCTCAGTCGGTTAAGCATCCAACTTAGCTCAGGTCATGATCTCAAAGTCCGTGGGCTCAAGCCCCGTGTCAGGCTCTGTGCTGACAGCTCAGAGCCTGGAGCCTGCTTCAGATTCTGTGTCTCCCTCTTTCTCTGCCCCTCCTCCGCTCTCATTCTTCTTTCAAAAATAAACATTTAAAAAAATGTTTTAAAAAAGGGGGGGGAGAGACC